ATTCATTGGCTGAACTTGCTCCTCTACTCTCAGGAGTTGAGGATTCTCACCTTCCGGTTCGCATCTTACACCAATCTTTCCGCGACTTTATCGTCGATCGGATTGATCCCCCATCAATCAGCCCTCGTTGCATCCTAGTAGATGTAGGGTCGGAGAATGCCAGAGTTGCCCTGCGATGCACTGAGATCCTGAACCAGGATCTTCGCTTTGTAAAGGGCTTAGGAATGATTGAAAACTTGTCTGAAAAAGATGAGCTGCCACTCATTCCCTCGGAGTCATCTGAGCACTCTCATTATGCATGTCGCTATATTGTCCATCACCTCAGTGGAGTCCAGGAACCATCACAGGAGCTCGATGAGTTAGTTGGCGTGTTTCTCAGTCAGCAAGCAACTCGCTGGGTGGAGGCCTGCGTGAGAATGGAGGGCTACATTAGTATCTCGTTACTCCCTGAGTGGGCTAAGGTGTGGTTTATCAATGTTGCTAATGAGACTATCTAAGATCTTTCAGTTGGCTGTTGGCCACAGGTCAAAAGGTGCTGTCCACACACTGGCCAGTGTGCTTGTCCAACTTGCATCGAATTTGAACTTTTTTGCAAGATTCCAGGAGGCATATGAGGCAGCGAACGATTCCGTTGTACTCTGCCGTTACCTTCTTTCGGTGGACTTGGGGTCCTCCCTGGATTTAGCCAGATCACTTGGGGCTCTTTATTCAGCCCTTTCCAAACTTGGACGGCACTCAGAGGCACTTCCATTCATTGAAGAAAGTGTCAACCTCTGCCGCCAGCTAGTTGCTGTTCACCCGGGCTCATACACCCCGGATTTGGCCCTGTCACTCAACAATCTATTTAATGCTCTTTCCAATCTTGGACGGCACTCGGAGGCGCTCCCATTCATTGAAGAAAGTGTCAGCCTCCGGCGCCAGCTGGTTTCTGTTCACCCAGAATCATACACCCCGGATTTGGCCCTGTCACTCAACAATCTATTTAATGCTCTTTCCAATCTCGGACGGCACTCGGAGGCCCTCCCATTCATTGAAGAAAGTGTCAGCCTCCAGCGCCAGCTGGTTTCTGTTCACCCAAGATCATACACCCCGAGTTTGGCCTTGTCACTCAACAATCTATATGATGCTCTTTCCAATCTCGGACGGCACTCGGAGGCGCTCTCATTCATTGAAGAAAGCGTCAGCCTCTACCACCAGCTGGCTGCTGTTCACCCGGGATCATACACCGCAGATTTGGCTGGGTCATTCGACAATCTATATTTTGCTCTTTCCCAACTCGGACAGCACTCGGAGGCGCTCCCATTCATTGAAGAAAGTGTCAGCCTCTACCGCCAGCTGGTTTCTGTTCACCCAGGATCATACACCCCAGATTTGGCACGGTCACTCAACAATCTATGTGATGCTCTTTCCAAACTCGGACGGCACTCGGAGGCGCTCCCATTCATTGAAGAAAGCATCAGCCTCTGCCGCCAGCTGGTTTCTGTTCACCCAGGATCATACACCCCAGATTTGGCTGGGTCACTCAACAATCTATATGATGCTCTTTCCAAACTCGGACGGCACTCGGAGGCGCTCCCATTCATTGAAGAAAGCGTCAGCCTCTACCGCCAGCTGGTTTCTGTTTACCCAGGATCATACACCCCAGATTTGGCTGGGTCACTCAACAATCTATATTTTGCTCTTTCCCGACTCGGACAGCACTCGGATCCGCTCTCATTCATTGAAGAAAGTGTCAGCCTCTGGCGCCAGCTGGTTGCTGTTCACCCAGGATCATACACCCCATATTTGGCCCTGTCACTCAACAATCTATATGATGCTCGTTCCAATCTCGGACGGCACTCGGAGGCGCTCCCATTTATCGAAGAAAGCGTCAGCCTCTACCGCCAGCTGGTTGCTGTTCACCCAGGATCATATACCCCAGATTTGGCCCGGTCACTCAACAATCTATATGATGCTCTTTCCAATCTCGGACGGCACTCGGAGGCGCTCCCATTCATTGAAGAAAGCGTCAGCCTCTGCCGCCAGCTGGTTTCTGTTCACCCGGGATCATACACCCCAGATTTGGCTGGGTCACTCAACAATCTATATTTTGCTCTTTCCCAACTCGGACAGCACTCGGATCCGCTCTCATTCATTGAAGAAAGTGTCAGCCTCTGGCGCCAGCTGGTTGCTGTTCACCCAGGATCATACACCCCAGATTTGGCCCTGTCACTCAACAATCTATATGATGCTCTTTCCAATCTCGGACGGCACCCGGAGGCGCTCCCATTTATCGAAGAAAGCGTCAGCCTCTACCGCCAGCTGGTTGCTGTTCACCCAGGATCATACACCCCATATTTGGCCCGGTCACTCAACAATCTGTATTTTGCTCTTTCCCAACTCGGACAGCACTCGGAGGCGCTCCCATTCATCGAAGAAAGCGTGAAACTCTGGCGCCAGCTGGTTGAAATCAACCCAGGAGCATCCACCCCACAATTGGCCAGTTCACTCAAAAACCTTCGCAACGCTCTTTCCAATCTTGGACGTCATTCCGAGGCACAAATGGTCCACAGTTGAGCCACCCAAGTCCCGTGGTTCATCCTGTCATTGCGTTTCTTTGCTACGTGCTCATGGAGAACGCTGACAAATCCAACCTCAATTTTTTTTTATTGGACACTATGAATAAGTAGTTACAGCCGCTACACCCACAACAGATCGCAGTTGCAACTTATAATCTCATATGAAGGATACTCATTTCTTTATCTGGCACATTTTCCTTCCCATCGCCCATCACCGATATACTGGTCCATGTTTCTGCATATCATCGTAAGTGACGACGTCGAGGCTTGATGAGTGATGAATGTTGATGCAACCAAAAGACCCAATCGGCAGGCCCACATTGCCTGGTGTATTATGAGGGGGGGTGTGGGGTCGAGAAATAGTGAAGCTAGCTCAACTCTTTGGCTCCAAGTTTCGATTCGAGGCTATTATCTCGACAAAACAATACATATTCCTTTCGAACGAATGAAGGGAGCTGAAAGTCCGAAGTGTGTGAGACTGATTGGAGTGGCGGGCTTGACTGCGTCGGACTCGACTCGGCAAGCTCGGCGCATTCCTGACAGGCCCCGTGTCTTGGCTTCAGCCTCTGCTAGCTTCGGAGACACCGGTCTCATTCCACCCACCTGTTGCCCCCAACCCTCGCATTCTTGGGGGGCGCCGCTTTCCTCGTGCCCGGTCATATCGTTGAAGCATTTCTGTGCCGCCCTCCGTAGTTGTCTGGTTTTCCCTTATCATTACCTTTGCGCACGCCATCATCCCGAAGTCTAGTTCCAATTCATTCAGATGATTATGAAGACAAGGTTTGCTTTTTGTGCGGGTACTTTCAAGGACATTCCCTCCTTCATACCAGTATGTTCCACGTGGGCAGTTGGCGCTCCGAACACGTAGAATCTATATTTTGCCAGAGCAGGGATCGAAAATGGCACTTTTCGGAATCGAATGGGGGGGAAGTCTCTTGCATTGGTGCAGAGGTCGTGAGTTCCTGAGGTTGAAGCTCGGGCGATGTCGGTGGGGGCGGAGTGAATGATGGGGCGAAGTGGGTAGTAATGGATCAGGGGAGCCGTGGGAGGCCTCCTTTCTGGAGTAAATAGGTAAGGGCGTATACGTGGGATGGTAATGTTCAATTTTTTGTGGGTGAATAGGGTTAGGTTGGGTTACTAATTCTCCGTTCTGCAGGTTATCCTTTTCTGGGAGACTCACTGGTGATGATGACTTTTTTTAGCCTGACGGAGGTGAACAATGCGAAGACCGAGTGCATTTTTTCATTCGTCCATTCCTTCCCGGTCACAGACGACAGCGAACTTCGACGGCCATGTGGATTGATGCCTGCGCTACATATATTATATATAGAAAAGGGCGGGCGGCTGGCTGCAGCGAGTCAACAATACAGAGCCGAATTATAGGATCGAGGATGTATCTTGAGAAATACGGATCAGTCCAGAGCGGAGCTCAGGGAGTGTGTGTGGCTACAATTGTATTCCTTTCTGGTTTTTCTTGGCACCGGATCAAAAATTCTCTTGGCGTGGCTTGCAATCGCGCCGCAAGCGCAAGCTTATGGTGACTCGGCCTATCTACCCTTTGAAACCGATCTCCATGTCTTATACACTTTCCCCGATTATTTTCCTTTGCCTCTGTAGTACACCCTCATTATCTGTCCGTCGGTAACTTGAATCGAAAGTGAGGAGGCACCGAACCGCATCCAGTTGTTGTGAGAGCTGAAGGATGGGCTGGTTTCTCCCTTGCTTCTCCCTGATCCGGGCGGCTCGTGTGGTACAACCGGTGGCTTTGTGCCGTGCGTTGTCGTGACGCCGTCCTCCGGTGCGTATATTTCCGTGTTTGGATTCACTTCTGGCTATTGCAAGGCCCGAAATCAGTTCTACGGGTCCTCACAAGTTGAGTTGTAAAGTTTGCTCTTTGGGGGCTTATCAGCAATGCGGCTGCTACGCTTCAAAAATCATGACGCAGTAATCGATCTAGAACGTGTTTGTTGCAGGTTTAATCATTCATCATGCGCCTCTTCAGATACGAAGATATTTAAGGCTGCCGCCACGCCAGTAGGCAGTAGACCGCGAGGTCATTCCCGTCATTCCCGTCCAGACAAGAAACGGGGTTGGTTGTTGAATTGACTATACGATGTGTAGCTATACAGCTCAGGTCAGCCGAATTCAACCCCGTTAACTCAGGGCCTATACATCACAACCTGAGGCATCCTGGGTCCTACAAGTTGGACAAGTTGGACACCATTAACTATATTTACCTAGCATGTTACAGGAGCTAACGAACAACACTTTGACAAGAGAAGGGGGAGTGACTTTCTCACCTCAGTTCTGTTGCACGTGAACTGAGGAAATATGTAAAACCAAACAATTCTGCTTGTTAGCAAGCGAAGCACAAGCTTGGTAACAAGAATACCAGCAAGCTCAACAACATGAGTCGTCACGGCGTACGTATGTTAAAGCCAATATTTCGAATTTTTACATCATATTGGAGCCTCACCACTAGATGACACGATTCGAACGCCACATTGCACTAAGCCGTTCGCAACGATCTTCATGAAGTGCCGCAATCACGTTGTCATCTTCCGTATTCCCACCTACAGGTCCATAGAAGGCCTCGGTGCCTTTATCATCGTGACAGCCCTCAATCCCTGACGAGCGCACATCAAGTAGTCCCCTTGCATGAGCATCCTTGAGTCGCCGACATGGCACGACTTTGTACGTCCTCATGTATTGTCCTGGCTTGAAGGGGAAGAAACCTGGATAAGCGCGGTAGCCATGGGGATCCACCGTGACGAGGAGTTCAGCCAGAGGACCGAATGTCCGTTGCGAGGCTATGTATTTGTAGAGCTGGATGCTGGTGTAATGGCTAAGGTAAGGCTTGACACATTTGTATGCACTGGGCCCAACCTCGAGGCATAGAGTAACCGTTTTTATTCGAGGAAATTGAGCTACCTTGTCTAAGATCTCGTGTGGCTGAATTTTAAATTTGACCATTTCAATCGTTCAACAACCGAAGAATGAATGTTCCTCGTACATACCCAATCACCATCGCGATTGATGTCAATTAGGAGCTCTTCCAGGTGTGGACAGCCCGTACAAATCTCATCGAGCTGCTCTGGGGAAAGAACTGATCGCGACCCCACCTTCCCATCATTTCCGCGGTTGTAGAGCCTGAGCCTTTTGAGCGAGCGGCCAAACCGGGCAAAGATAGAGACAGGGATATCTCCAGTAAGTTCCTCAAGGTCGAGCTCTTCCAGGGCAGAAGGGACCTCGCGAAGGAACTCAGCAATGCGGCGTTTGACTCCCAAATGGTCTTCACTCATGATTTGCCAAGGGGGAACTTGACCCGTCAGCTTGATGGAACGAAGGGAGTACATTTGATCAACCACGTCAAGGAGGATATCAGAAAAGTATGTGAACTGTAATTCTTTAAGGCTATCCCATGGGATACCATGACGCCACGATTCATCGGTGTGAACACTGTCGATAGAAAGTCTCCGAAGGGATGAGAGGATTTGTCCTTCTTCAAGTGTGTTGTTGCGCTCAATGTCAGGTACAATATGAAAGCTAATTGTTTTTGGCATTGGAAAAGGAGTGACAAGAAGATAACACAACGAACCAAAGGTCCGTCAGATATATCATGCGGGGAAGCAGATGCAGGGTCTTTTCTAGAATTCGCCTCTCCACCTCCTCACCGTCCTCATCAATCACGTATGCAGGATCGATGATTACTTTGCGGACGTATGAGAGGAGTGATGGATTGTCTTCTAATCGCTTGAGGAGGTGGAGTTCAAACTCCGGCGCACCCCCTGGGCCCCATTGGGAGCCACCTATTTGAATGACCCGAAACCGGATAACGGTAGTGAACTTATAAAAGGCACGGCTGACAAGACTAACAGACAGAAGAGAATTGAATGGTGATGCGGCGAGCTGCTCTATAATATGATAGTAGATGTCACCGTTTAGCGCAACCGCACTGGGGCCAGTGCGAATAACCATCGCAGCAGAGGTAGGGATACGCAAGGGAAACTTCGTGATAGCCTTGGTCTTGGGAGGGCTCAAAGTACAACGCTATCGTGCTGATTATCTGCAAAACGGCAGTTCCCGAAGGCTCTGGTACCGTGCCCCCGCTTTTATCACCATCCTCAGGCTCATATGCTTTCCTTGCTCCCTTTTCTATTTTACAGGGCGGTCATGAGTGAACGATTTTTTTTTTTTTAAAACGGTGATAAAGATTGGAGGTGTATGACGGAGTTTGGTGCAGATGGAGTGTGTGCGACCAGCCACGGTCCCGACAACCGAAGCCTATGGATTTGCAAGCGATCCGGGCGAAATATACTGAGGTGGAGACAGGGGATGGTGGCGGGTAAGCGCAAAAAATAGCAACACACGAGAGGAAAGTGATGAGAAGACAGGAAAGAGCCGAAAAACCAAACAGGAGAAAACAACAAACTTTGCTACTTAGCGTTATCTCGGACACTGTTCTCACCAGAGTTCCGGCTTCCTTGGTGTTAACCCTTCGATTCCCTTTGAGGGACTCTGTTCATGGCTATGAAGGCTTACTTACTTCGAACCTAGCTTTCAACCTGACTAGGAAGGGTTGGCCTTTTCTGTATTTTCCTCACTCGGTTCCTCCCCATTGCCCATTACTACGAATCAGGCTTGTGCGGCTACTCTTTGCTAGGTTGAAGGCGTTGTTTTCCTGATGGCCCGAGTCTGCGGATCGATTTTGCTTCACTATTAGTTGCGCCACGAGGGCCCCCGCCTTATGACTACGTTATTTCTTGGTTTAGAAGCATGCTGAGTGAGGGGCTTGCACGCATATCTTATTCGCCGCCTCCCAAGGGCTTCCCTTTATAGGGAGCGCTGCTGATCTCGAATGGAGGGCTCAGTCTTTTCTGTCATATCTTTGCCCGGCTTCAACCTCACGGCCTCCGTCAAAAATAAACAGCCAGGTGGGTCTCGTAGGGTCAAATTTGAGATAAGTCACAGTATATTATCTCAGACGTTTTAGCGCTCCGTGTGCCGGGGTCTTCAAGCTCGCAGCTATTGCAGAAGCCTCGATCTATCCTACTTCACGTGTACCATTCAACAGCGCACGTATCATACGGGCCACGGTGCTCCATTTCACAGAGAATTGTGCTTTCACTGGTCTGAAGATGGAACTCTTCATCGACAGCTTCTTGTAGCTCAGAGACTAGGAGGTCTGGTTTCATACCAATCAGACTATCTAGGAACTTCAGCAGTGCATTACTGAGAGAGTGTGGTCGGTCACGCGTCTCTCACGGTGGTGCCTTTGTGGGTTATGGAGAACATCCTGGATGGTGTGTACAGGCACTTGTGTTGCTGTCGAGATATCCTGTGTGCTCATCGAGTTAGACATTGTAACGATAAGGTCCCTGGCCGCAGGTTTGCGGTGTTTGCCCATTGTGATGGGCATGTGGTTAAGGGCCTGATCTCCAATATTTTTGTCGGTGCCACTGGGATACGGTGGGCGCTCAATTTTTACCTAAATCATCAATCGGATCAGTTGTTGCCCGCGCGATATATCCACTCAAACCGGGGATGCGCTGTTTTTTTTTTTTTGTTACGGCGGCTGTAAACTGGGGTGATATGAGAGCAAGTATTCATCGCAATGCACGAACACCCATCATTCGATCATGATCTTATGAAGATCCTTTCCATTCAGTGTTGGGCGCTTGTCCGTTGGGAACTCTCCCGTGGACAATACTAGGCTGGTGACGTCACCTGCCTAGGACAATACGTGTAATCACATCAGGGGAAGTCCCAGTCCCTAAGCCACCACAGGGTTGCGATCGTTAGTTGATGGTTACTATTAGAATTATGAACTAGCAAGCGGTGGTGTATAACTAGTGCTCGGTTCCACGCAAGTATGTGAACTTAGTATGATTCATAATTACCTGGCGGCCTATACAAGTACATATATAAAATGTGAAGACTACGTTCCAAGAAATAAAGCGGATCTCACCTAGCTCAGTCCCAAGTATGTGAACTGAGGAGAGAGGAAAGAAAATTGAAGTAGCTTTTATGTAAGCCATCCTCGACTGCGTCCATCAACATGGACTTCAAAAACGGAAGCATCGGGGAATCCTGTAGGGAAATGTCCGTATAATCCATAGGACTCAATGAGCAGTCTACAGCGTACGTACAAATCAAGAGTTATTACAGTTTGAGACGCCAATTTTTGATGCCTCAATGGTAAACTTTCCTTTCAGCGCTTGTAAACCAAAGCATTGTACCAAAATAGTTCAGATAGATATGTTGTAATGACGAATCACCGAAGCCGGGCATATATACACATAGCTGGTGTTTATGTGGAAGATTTATGTGGAGGGAATCACTGATCGCGTAGTCGCACAGGAGTCACCCCACATGGGACCACTCCACAATGCATTTCACTTTGTACATAAATACGCACAGACGGACGCTCACAGGAATCATCAGTTTTTGCCCTAAGCTTACATCTGATCTCGCGAGTGTAGCCACTGAGGTAGCGAATTGGACTTGCACGGAATCCCTACATGATGAGTTCAAAAAAATGAGTGTGGGCATCTGGGAAAAATTAGAGTATTGGATACTGTTGCACGTGGCAAAAATGAGGGTGGTATCAAAATCTCATCGTGGATACGTACCAAGACTACTTAAACGGTTTTGGCGTTTGCTTCGTCGGGATCAATTTGTCAATGCAATTACTTGGCGCACGTGTCAGAACTAGCGATACGATCAAAGAGTATCGAGAAACTATCTTTGTACCGTAGAGTTTTATACCTATGTTTTATAATAGGATTTTAACATTTCAGGTCTGGTTGTGTCGGAAGAACGTTGCAAGAAACTTTCATCCCAAACATGTAATCATTCGAACGGGGTTACACATGAACGTACCCATGTGTATATCTTGTCAGGCTGTGATTTCCTGGTACTTAATCGGGTGGGCAACCATAGGCATCAATCATCCCTCCCCCAGGATGTCAGAGCAGAAATCGAACGCCCTCAAACGCCTCGCAGGCAACAAGCTTCCCGTCAAAGCCGTAATTGCCACAGTCCGAGGAACGGTGGCTACCGTACAACTTCCGATGAATTTCTCCCATTGGGGTGTGTTAAGTCCTGTGCTTCGCCGTCTTTCGCCGCCTGACGATATTTTTTTTGGGTTGGAAAGGGGACAATAATCCCATTGAACCGGTGAACGTTAGAGGGCGGGACATCCTAACGCTTGGTCTTGTCGATGGTATCTCAGATGTGCTCCCAGTCGATGGGGTAATCAATGGGATAATCGGGGGCGTTGCACATGTGGATCCAGATGGCTTTCTGGCAACTCACGGAGCACACATGATTGTGAATATTGGTCTGGGTACACTCGTGGCTCGCGCCAGCGAGGCACATGGAAAAGCCCGTCAGAATGCACCTGTTGAATGGCATGTTGCCAACCCTAGCACCGATGGTTTCCGGGGACTCGAGACGACGGCAGTTCATAAGTTCCAACTCGGCGTGTGTCACAAGTTGTTTGAAGAACATGCGAAGCTGGAGCCTGTTCGTATGCCATCTTTCCGCAAATTGACCCTGGCTAAGGGCATTGTTTCCACGGGTCCGGGTTGGTTTTGCCCTTACGTGTATTCCACTCATCGTCAACCTTTGGTGTCACGAATCAATGAGGTATAGTTCACTGCACCCCCTTCGGAGAGAACACATCTCACGTTTCTTCTCGCCAGATTTCCTTCGTTCAACTCCGCGGGCCAATCATCGCTGCTGACCAGATCCTAGCCTTTCAACTCGTCGGCTTTTTCAAATCCATATTCGGACGCCTCATCTCTTTTGTAAATTCGTCGCCCACATTTCAACCTCCCAAGACCCCTTCAACGTCTCGTGCGCTTGTGTGCATCGCCGGAATATCACCTTTCAGAGGCCTTTGGTCCCAAGGTCGAAGGCCCGACCAGTGCAAGATGTGGTTCCACGTCATGAATGGAGTGCCTGGAATAGCAATTCCAGTGGTCGACTCATCTCCACTCTTAGCTTGGCATGGGAAGGACCTTGGCGAACTAGAGATGAAAGACCTTGCTGAAGTCTTGGAGTACGTTTCGACGCTCTTGGACCCAGCATACCAGATCAAATTTTCTACGTTGAACGCGGCGCTGGAGTGCATGATCGGAAATGCAATTGGGGGGAGGAAAGCAGCGAAGAAACTTAATAGCGATTTCGACCTTGATCGTACTGGAATCCTAGTGATCAAATATGGTACAGCCGCAGTGACTGTTTGATCGATATTTTAAGCTCATCCTCGTATCACTCGGTTTTCCGGAAATTGTTCCTCTCGTCTTTGTGTCGTGGCGCTCTCTCTCTCTTTGTACATAACAGAACCCTTTTCTGAAGAGTCATCGACGCTCGCCAGCGCCTTGTAACATCTTTACATCCTTCGAGCCTGAGAATAGCATAAAGGCGAGTATTTAGCCACGGGAGACAGCCGCTTTGAGCGTTAGAGGGTTCACTGAGAACATCTAGCGTCGTCCTGAAGTCATAGAAAAGGCAGCAGAGATCCTCGGGGGGTGGCCCAGTGAGGACGGTGGACGATGAGCGTGCTGCAGTTTAACCTAAGCAGTGACGGATGAAACGAGAGGATCACGTGTTGCTAACAAGCAACTTGGACTTTGCTTGCCAAATTGAAACCTGACTAGTACCGCATGGATCGCGACCGCGACGGGCGTGGCGGTGGAAATAGGGTTCGCGACAGTCATAGCCGCACTTCTA